GTAGAGAGGGGAAGAGACAAAATCTCCATCCGTCCGTTGCCAAATGAATGTTCTTCTTTCTTCCCGGGAACACGACGGCCTGTTCCCCTGCATCTATCTCTCGCTCTCGCTTTCTTTTTTCCATTGAATTGTGCAGAACATGGGTGACGAGCGAGCCCGGCGCCGAATACCAGCAGCCCACCGGCCAAGTGCAGTGCACATCTACATCACCATGTTTTCAGCACACTTACACACTCCTTGACTAGCTCACTTTCTTTTTCAAGTGAAAGAGAAGCCATGGTTTGCTGCTCTCTTTAATTACTTTGTTAATCTCGTTTGGTTAACATGCTAGATTAGGGCTCTTTCGCAAAAAAAAGGGGGGTTAGGTTAGGGGCTTGGGGCTCACATGAGAAGATTAGCCAATGAGTACACTAAGCACCAGACAGTAGAATCTACCATGTTTTCAAGGAGTAGGTGGTAGAATGCCTTCTACAGAAATATCTTCAGTTCAGCAAACTGAACTGCAGCCATGTCTTTGGGTCTTCAGCCTTTGGGAGATGTGGAAGCACCGGAACGCGGTCGTGTTCGATAACGCCTCTCCTTCGATGCGTTCTACGGCTCATCATGAACACCGGGAAGGAATGGTCCTTGCAGGGTTCTTTCGTAGCGATGTGAGCGCTTGGTTAGCTAGAGTGGACAGGCGGGTGCGCGGGGAGATGTAGTTTTTTGTTTTCCGCCTCTGGCCTTTGCCCCTATTCGGGCTGTAGCGTGTAACTCCGCGGACGGGTATTCTTCTACCCTCTCCTTTCTATCAATAGATGATACGCATACTCGTGCGTATTCCACAAAAAAATTGTAGGGTCTTCAGAGCTACTAACTGATATCGCGGCCATGCGTGGTACAAGTGTCAAAATAGCTAGCATGATCAGCTCATAAATCTAAATATGTCATGTGCACTTGGTAGAACAGTTTTTTTTACGCTGACTTGGTAGAACAGTCAGCAGAACGTGTACAAAGTACAAACAGGCTTTTCGAGATTAACTTCTATTCGCAGGTCAATGCGGCAGAGCGTAGGGGTAGAAGAACTTCCGAGCTACAGAAGATCTCCATGAAAAAGAAGGATAGTAAATGAAACTTAACCCTTGTTCATCACCAAAGGACAGTTCAGAACACAACAGTAGATGCTATAATTTGGTGGTTGAAGCATTTCATTACTAAACCTCAAGTATTATATAGAGTAGAGACAAATCTCAAGTATTCTAGAGAGAAGAGACAAATCTTTGTTCTTGTCTAATGTTCATCTAGGGAACTGGAGAAGCCGCTCCCCTGCATCCTTTTGCATTTAATTTAAGCAGGACATGGGTGATGAACTGACGGCCAGCGATCATGAGCGGCTAAATGCATTGCATTCTCAGACATTGCTTTCAAACAGAGCTTCCCTCATTGACTATCTTTTCTAGGTACAACGGAACCCATAACTTCTCTCTTGTTAACCTTGGAAGGTTAGCCTGTTAGGTTTAGTTTGCTAATGAGAAATGGCTACATGTATTGAGAAATTGTGTACCTTTTCTAAAAAAATTGAGAAATTGTGTAACCTCTTTTGATAACTGGTTTCTGAGGAAGCATGATATGTCCCAAATAGAAACTCTATTGGCATTGCAGAAAAGGTAGCATGTGTGCTAGTATGGCTGGTACGAGAGGAAGTGAGGTAGATATTGATGAAAGGCTTGTCCATAATATAGCTTATGTGATTCTTTTTGACTGAATCGACAAAAAATATGTACCTTTTGCTTTCAGGACTGTAATAAGCGTAGAGAAGATGCTGGCATAGCAGCATAAGTTGATCCAAGACCCTCAAATCTGAAAATGGTGGTGCATGCTGATCAAGTTAACTCCAGTTATTTGGCCAGCTAGTCCACTGATTGCCATTCATGTTTAACCGGCAGCGCGGGAATGCTTTATTGGGGACTTCTTTGACTTCATAGTGCACTCCTACCCAGAAACCTCCCAATTTCACCAAGCACCTTTGCTTTTAAATTGACATTCTGAAGAAGCAGGAACGACGTGTTGCTCATAAAATTCAGCTGCACCTTCTGTAAGCTACTGCAGAGAGCAAGTCACAACAATAAAATGCGCATTAGTAGTTACTGCAATTTTACATGGTATACTCGGCTAGAGGCCATGGGGGTGATAAAATTTTATCCTAGGTTGTTATAAGAGCTAAGAAGTGTCAAGTATGTGCATTCCTGTCAGAAAAAAGAGATCAGGTAAACTTAACTAAATGGATGGCTTCACATCATCACAGATACACAACAGAGCTAAATGTTGATATGTCTGCATTAACACACAAAGGAATTGTTTAAACACACGTATGATCAGCACAAGTACGTAGAAAATGCACATATCGCAATCTTAACAAGAAATACATGTTCGATAAAAAACTGATAAGAAGAAAGTACAACTGATGAGTTCTGCACGGAACAGTAAACAAGAACAAGGACATGAGGTTGCTGTTCTCCCTTGAACAGAATGAAACTGTTCAAAGAGACCATCAGATAGACCACTGGTTGCCTAAAGGATCTATTAGACACCATGAAATTCCTAAAGCAGTCAAATGTCATTAGGTTGCAGATGTCCCAAATGTGACACTACATTTGCTGCATGACTGAAAACTCTAAAAACCACACCACAGTAACATGGGGAAAGCCCAACGACGGAGCTCGTTGAACAAGCGTGAAGGGCAGCGCTTCTTACGCTATGTGATCACAGAAATAGATAGTGGAGTAGGCAAGCTAGGTTTGATGTATCAATTCCAATTGTCAACTCTGTCAAACCATGATCAGACAGTTGGTATCCTATATCAAGCCAACATGTTCCCTCTTCCTCAATCACTTGTTCATTGTTCAGTTAATCATAACTTGATGACATAAATGCTAGAACAGAACTGTACACTATTCCAATTTGATCCTCCTTAACAGGTGACAGTTGGAATGGTGTCGGTGGTTGGCCTCCTATCTGTAGTACATCATATAAGCCTTGCCCTCTTTCAGTTGATGCATAGCCATGATATATTCCAACCGAGGCAGATGCCCAAACAGTCCACTTGCTGCCTGTAAAGTGTATTAGTCACAGGTCAACATGATAGAGATCATAAGCGACACATGATATAAACTCTATTGTATGCAGCTAACAGGAATCCCACAAACATATCATCTTGCGTTGTTAAATACAGATCAGCAAGTGTAGGCCGTAGGATTTTACGCTGAAGACAATGCAAACACAAAAGAATTCTAATCATGAGCTAGACACAACAAGAGCACCCCAGCATAGCAAGAAAATTCAGAACTTGTGCTCATCCTATGCAAGTTGCAAGTGGTAGGATAACACAAGATGTACCTCACCAATAGACAATAGATTGTTTCATATGTATTCTTGAGGTGATGCCCATGCTTCCTTTAGGTGAACTCCAGAACTACAACAACTGCTAACAGATACCGTCCATAGGCAATAGATAAGATTGTTTCATATGTATTCTTGAGGTGATGTCATGTCTGAATACCCGAGAATATGAACATTTTCCGAAGATTGGTGGCCACAGTAGCTTGATCTTTGTCTTCTCTTGAGAGTACTCAGACAGTGACCAGGGTCTTGGCCAGATCATCTGCCTTCGCCGCTGACCTTTACCTTCGTCACAGTTTCCACGAGCTGCGGCACTTCGTCAAACAACATGTGCACCGCGGCCACATCACGGACGTTGTCACGCACCGGAACAACCACGAATGACATTGTGGGGTCGGAGAAGACATGGACGAGCCGCACGGCAGTGGAAGGAGGCACACCGAGAGACAATGCTCGCAGCAGCCCACTGGCATCATCGTCCTTCGAGCATTCCGTCGAGCACCTGGTGGGCATCGGCGTGTCAAGCTTGAAGGACAGGGAATGGCTGCAGAAGCGGAGGTTTCGGCCGTCGGAAAGGACTCTGACGGTGACATTACGGACGTAGATGCGACAAGCGGGGCCAGTGACACGACCCTTC